CAGGCACTTGATCAGGGCTCAGGGAAGCTTCACATGCAGGGACTGATTTTTTTTTTCCCTGAAGGAAAATCAGGGACAGTCAACTTGTGTGTCAAAGCCCAAATGTAGTAAGCAAAGGCCAGACAAAGGTCCCCATGCTGTCTCCTCCTTGCTTGTCACCCAGTTCTGAAACTTGAGTTGGAGGACACTCAGGAGTCCTTGAAGGAAGGGAGATCAGGATGAGAGCAAAGGCCTGGCATGGCTCATGGGTGTCACTCACCCTGTCTGTTCCACTGGACCTTAGGATCCTTGGTGACTACAGTAGTGCAGCCAGAGGAAGAGCCCAAACCATGGCCTGGTGGGCAATTTCTCAACATATAAGAAACCTAGGATTTCACTGTTTTATGCTTAAAATTAAGGAGCTGAAACCGAGATTTGACAGTTGGGATTTTTAAAGCTAAATGTTGAAAAGAACAGCCAGAAGTGGGGTGCGGGATCTAAGGGCATGAGGGAAGCGGCAGGTGGGACCTAAGAGGGCTACAGGTGAGCCGGTGGGCTGGGGGTCGCAGGCATGACAGAGGCCCAAAAGCAGCGGGAGCCGCTTTCCCTCATCTACCAGCATCTGCTACATGCGGGTTACGTGTGCGCGGCGCGGGAAGTGAAGGAGCAGAGCGGCCAGAAGAATTTCCTGGCTCAGGCTTTCACCCCTTTGGGCATCTATACACACTGGCAACAAACCTCAGAACTTGGCCAGGAGCAGAAGGCAGAGGATGATGCAGTGCTACAAGCCAGGCAGACCCGAGTGTCAGACACCCTCAGCAGCTCTGAGAGCTCCGAGGAGGAGGTGAAGGGGCAAGAGGCAGAAGCCAAAACTGCCAAAGCGACCCCAAGACCAGCACCTACCAACTCCTCAGCCATAGGGGTGGATTTGCCATCAAGCATGAAAGAAAAGGCCAAGGCAAAGACCTAGAGCGCCAGGAAAACAGTGAACTCTGTGCCACACCTTGCCTCGGGGAAGGTGGTAGTCCACTTCCTTTCTGGGAGGTCACCTAAGAAGTCGGCAGAGCCCTCCGGAAGTATCATATTGGTCTCAGAAACTGAGGAGGAGGGCAATATCCAGGCCTTTGCAGCCACTGTCGATCCTGGGACCGTGTCAGCAGGCCAGGCCGACAGCAAGGACACCTGCAGCTCCAGCGATGAAACAGATGTGGAGGTGAAGTCCTCAGTGAAAGTGCAGGTCAGACCTCCACCCACCCCTACCAAGGAGTCTTCAAGTAAGGCGGCCCCAAGCCCTGGGAAAGTGGGGGAGGTGATGTCCCAGGCCAGAGGAGGTGCCCTCACCCCAGCTGGAAGTGCCATGAAACAAAAAGAGGATTCAGAAAGCAGCCAGGAGTCTGACAGTGAGGAGGAGCCATCCTCTGTGGGAACCCCCAGCCAGGTGAAGGCATCTGAGAAAAGCCTCCAGGTTAGAGGTGCCTCAGCCTCTGTCAAGGGGACCCCTGGCAAAGGGGTCACACCAGCACCCCCCAGGAAAGGGGCCATGTGTGCACTTCCTGGGAAGGCAGGGCCCTTAGCCATGCAAGCCAAGGCAGGGAGGCCCGAGCAGGACTTGGAGAGCAGCAGTGAGGAGGAGTATGACAGCAAGGTCGAGACAGGGGCCGCCATGACTATGCTTCAAGTGAAGTCCTAGGGGAAGGCCCCTCAACTCAGAGCTGCCTCAGGCCTTGCAAAGGAGTCCTCCAGGAAGGGCATCTTTGCAGCATCCCCTGGAAAGACAGGGCCTGCAGCCACCTAGGCCCAGGCGGGGAAGCAGGTGGAGGACTTGGACAGCAGCAGCAGCAGCAGTGAGGAGCTGGACAGTGACGGGGAGACGCCGGCTCCCCAAATCCCACCTATGAACCATGTCCAGGTAAAGACTTCGGGGAAGAACTTCCAGGTCAGACCTGCATCAGGTCCCACCCAGGGGCAGCTGAGGAAAGGGCTACCCCTAAACCCCCTCAAAAGTCAGCCCCTGTGGCCATTCAGGTCAAGGCTGAAAGGTCCCAGTTAGACTCAGACAGCAGAGACAAGTCCTCTGACAGTGGCGAGGAGGCACCTGCAGCCGTGACTCCAGCTCAGGCAAAATCAGCTCTGAAAACACCTCACACCAAGGGTTCCCCCAGAAAAGGCACCCTCCTCACCCCCACATCTGCCAAGGGCCCCCCAGTGCAAGTGGGCACTCCAGCCCCTTGGAAAACAGGTACAGTGACTTCTGCAATGGCCCCAGCTATGCCTCAGGGCACCCAGAGCCCAGAGAGTGATTCTTCGAGCAGCGAGGGGGAATCAGAGGGTGAGGAGGCCACGCCTGGGGCAGCAGTGGCACAGACAAAGTCTCTGGGGAAAGGCCTCCAACAGCAAGCTGCCTCAGCACCCAAGGGCCCTCAGGGCAAGGGACCACCCCAGTGCCCCCTGGGAAGACAAGACCCACCCCTGTCCATGTCAGAACTGAGGCTCTTGAAAGGTCCGAGAGCAGTGAGGAGGACTTTGACGACAGTGAGGCAGCGACTCCACCACAGGCAAAAGCCTCAGGGAAAACCCCTCTGGCCAAAGTCAACCCAGCTTCGACCAAGGCGTCTACAGTCAAAGGGGCAGCGTCAGCTCCTGGAAAACTGGTCACTCCAGTTGCTCAAGGCAAACCAGGGCCCATGGCCAAGGGGAAGTCACCGGTGAGAGCCCTGCAGAACAGTGCAGCCTCAGCAAGGGGCCAGGCATCTGTACCAGCTGTGGAGAAGGCAGCGACCGCGACAGCTAGGTTGAGGAGAACTCAGACAGCAGTGATGAGTCCTCAGAGAGCTAGGAGGAGGCGAAGCCCTCGGGGAGGACCCCTCAGCTCAGAGCTGCCCCAGGCCCTGCCAAGGAGTCCCTCAGGAAGGGCGCCCCTCCAGCACCCCCTGGGAAGACAAGACATGCAGCCATCCAGGCCCAAGTGGGAAAGCAGGTGGAGGACTCAGACAGCGGCAGTAGCGAGGAGTCAGACAGTGATGGCAGGGGCTGGGGATTTAGCTCAGTGGCATAATGCCTGCCTGGCAAGCACAAGGGTGTGAGTTCGACTCCTGGTACCGGAAGAAAAATAAAAATAAAGCATGAATGGCCAACCTTTTAAAAAAAAAAGAAAGTGATGGGGAGACTCTGGCACCCTGGACCCCAACCACGAACCCTGCCCAGCAGAAGCCCTCAGGAAAGACCCCTCAGCTTAGACCCCTCAGCCCCTGCCAAGGAGTCCTCCAGGAAGGGCGCCCCTCTAGCACCCCCTGGGAAGACAGGACATGCAGCCATCCAGGCCCAGGAGGGGAAGCAGGCAGAGGACTTGGGTAGCACCAGCAGTGAAGAGTTGGACAGTGATGGGGAGATGCCGGCAGCAGACACCCCAGCCCAGGAAAACATCGCCTCAAAAACTGCCAGAAGCAACGCCCTGACCCCAGCTTCGCCAGAGAAGAACCCCCAAGGAGTCCTCAAAGAGGAGTGATGAGGAGCTGCCCTCCAGCCAGGTGATTAAACCCCCTCTGATTTTTGTGGACCCTAATCATAGTCCAGCTGGCCCAGTTGTGACCCCCACACAAGCTCAGGCTGCAAGTACCCCAAGGAAGGGCCAGACCTCCAGTAGCACTGCTGGAAGCTCCTCCTCCGAGAGTGAGGATGAGGATGTGATCTCCGCCACGAAGTCTTCCACTCTTGCAGGTAGAGCACATGTGCCCGTGCCTGCTGCCTCCACAAGGACAACCCCTAGAGCCAGCACCAGCGGGGAGTCCAGTCGAGTGTCAGAAGGTAAGAAACAGGAAACAGCAGTCTCTCAGGTGATAAGGAAGAACCCAGCTTCCCTCCCACTGACTCAGGCTGCCCTGAAGGTTCTGGCCAGAAAGCTGGAGATGCCCAACTTTCAAGTGAGGCTAGCAGTGGCGTGGGAGCACTGCCTGTGATGCGTCCACAGAGCACTCCTGTCCAGGCCAGAGCAGCCATCACTCTGAGACAACTCAAGCTCTCTGAAGGCCAGCAGAACACAGCCACTCCCTTGGGCCACCCCAAAGCCAAAGCCCCTGGCAGCTCAGACAGTGGGGACAGCAGTGACAACTCTTTGGGGAGTGAGGAGGATGCCAAGGGACCTCAGATGGTCAAGTCAGCTCCCAGGCTGGGTCCACCCCTCTCCGAGAGGGAGACCTTGGTGGAGGAGACCACAGCAGAGTTCAGCGAGGCTGAGATGGTGGTGCCCTCCCAGTCTCTCCTCTCAGGTTATGTGACACCTGGGCTGAACACGGCCAAAAACCAGGCTTTGAAACTACTACCAGGCGGGAATCAAACCCTGCAGTTTCCTCTGCTCCACCCACCAGAGATGACCCAGCCAGTGCGCAAGCACCAGAGCCGCAACACACAGTGGGCACCATGTTCCTTAAACCAGGTAGGAAAGAGGCTGTCTCAGTCCCCACACCTGAGAAGCCCTGGAAGCCCAAGAAGAAGGGTGTGAGCACCAAAGCCTCCCTGCAGGTGCAGCAGAGCAGCATCACCCAGCACCTCCTGGGCCAACCCTGGCCCCTAAACGAAGTGCAGGTACAGGCCTCGGTGGCGAAGGCCCTGTCCGAGCTGCTGCAAGCCACAGACACCGCCAGGGAGAGCAGCAGGAAGGGCCAGAAGCGGAAGATGTCAGGGGACCAGGTGGCCTCCAAGGCTCCCAAGGGCAAGAAAAAGAAGCAGCTGGCAGCCGGGGAAGGCAGGGAGGGTGCTGCTTCCTCAGAAAAGGCCGCAAGGACATCCAAGGGGAAATCAACAGGAGACAAAGCAAGCGGTGACATCAAGGAGAAGGGATCTCTGAGCTCCGGAAGGGCCAGGGCTAGGCCCGAAGGGGAACTTCTGAAGTGGAGGGTACAGATCAGAATAACCCAAAGAGCAAGAAAGGGAAGAAATCCAACAAGAAAAAAAAAAAAAAAGACAGGGAGAAAAAGTAAAAGAAGAAAAAGCAAAAAAGGCCTCAACCAAAAACCATGACTCACCATTCCAGAAGAAAAAGAAGATAGCAGAGCCGACGATGGTGTGAGGGGCCAGGCACCAGGTTCAGGAACTTCTTAATGGAGTAGCGACCATCCCCGGCCTCTGCCTTCTGCCCGATGGGGCACGGGACTGCGGTCTGAACTTGCCCTCCCTTCACAGAAGGCAGCAGCCAGCCATGGGGTCCTAGTGCTGGCCAGGCCAGTGGGCCCGCGGGGGCTGGTCGGGGAGAAGCGGCCCTGCTCTGGGCCCTCGCCCCACCTTCCTTCCCACTTCATAGAGATGTGTACGGTATATCTGTTTTTTTAAGTGACCTGCCTCCTTTGCCTCCAACACGCCCCAAGGCCTCAGGCCTCACACTGTGCCTCATGGACTCCCGCTGATCCTGAGGCTTTGTCTTCTCCTGAAAACTCAAAAATAAAAGAGTTGAAGGGGGAAAAAAAAGCTAAATGTTGTGCCCACTTCTTCAAGCAGAGAGGGACAGCTACCACTCCTGACTCTGGCATCAAGGAAGTTTGAACAGAAGCAAACTGTCACCTGTTTCCTGGGCCTACAGGTGGAACAAAGCGAGCTGAATTGACCCTGCGTATTTCCTGGCTTTCCTTCTACTCCTCTTGTATGTTAGGGTACTTCTGTGCCTTAGAGGAACGTGGGTGACTTGCCCTCACCATTTGGCCAAACCCTGAATAAACCCATATTTCCATTTTCAAGGGCTTTTCTCATACTTCTGATAGCAGGTAGGCAAACAAATCCAGAGAGTTTCAGCCTAGATGCAGTGTCTAGTCAAGTGACCCCAGAACCTGGTGACCACAAGGAGACCCATATCATCGCTGTGGACATGATGTGCCCTGGGGGGCTTCAACCAATGCCTGCTTGGCCCTGGAGGATGGGAATAAGGAGGGTCTCTTTCTCTTTGAGGTAGTGTCTGCCTTTGTCTCTCTTAATAAAATGGAAAATTAAATATTTTCAAGCAATCTCTGGGCTCAAAATCTGACACCTGAGTACACAGCATGCCCTGCACTTCCTTTTGCTTGTCTTTGGGTCTTGTGAGCCCATCCAGAGCTTGTGAGCCAATGTGAGTTTTCTCGTGAGCTAATTTGGGATTCAAATTCTTCAGCATCTGGGCTAGAGATTTAGCTCAGTGGCAGAGCGCCTGCCTGGTATTGCAAGGTCGTGAGTTTGATTCCTGGTACCAGAAAAAAACAGCAACAAAAAAAACCAAAAAAACAAATTCTTCAGCCTCTTGTATGCAAGGTCCTTTGGATATATGTGACTTTGTTCCAGTTTGTTTGGAAGAAATTTCTAAGGCTTAGATAAGCTAGGCTGTGTTTAAAGATCTCTGTTGTGCTTTGCATGGGAATGCAAAGCACTACACTGCAGAGCTTTCATGAGATTTTTGTTTACTTGTGACAGAGAGAACAATGGTTTTGCGTCTGTGTGGTATGACATGATCTATATAACTGAATATGTTCTTGAAAGCAACTGTCCTCAAAACTCCTGGGAATAATTTTGGCAACGATGTCTGTGACCATTTTATTGTTGTCCATTTGAGCTCATGTTTGTTGATGAATTCACTTTTGGGTTCTGTGTGTTTCAATTGTATATTTTATCTTGTTTTGAGAAAAGGCCCACATTCACCACCTTCACCAGCGGAGTCACCTGGCCCACACCACACAGCAGTAGAGACCCTGTGCACTTGCCAACCATGCTGCCCCCTTGGTGGGTACCACTGAGTCTTCCCAGGGCTCAGACCCCACTTCAGTTTGGCTGACAGTGCTGGGATTTCTGGACTAGTTTGTGAGCTGTGTGTTGTCTTATTTTTCCAGAGAATTAGTATGAGCCCTTTGCTCCAGCCACTTCAGTATCTAACTTTGCTTGTTTTTTCTTCTGTCCTTTCTTTTTCTCCCATTATTAAACCGTGCCCTCTTTTAGAAATTGTATGTGAAACTCATGAGAAAGATGCCAAAGATAAGAGACACCTAATCCTCCAACGCCACAGGTTGGAGGTGTCGGGGGAGTTCCCCAGAATGCAGTTGGGATGGGTCCAGGAGACAGCCTCCAGGTTGCTCCACCTGGCTAGCAAAGAAATGCAAGTATATACCAATACTAAAAGCAAAACCAGCTGCATGTATGGAAACTAATGTGGAAGGTGTGCACAGGAAGTGCAGAGTAGTGCCGGTAGAAATACAAGGGCGGCACAAACAGGAGGGAGTGGTACTGGGATGGAGGAGGAACAGGGAGGTGACATAAATCAGGCTTTTGGATTTAAATGATGTGCACCCAGCCACAGGTTCCTCTCAATCAGTATCTCTGAATATGACGGACAGAAATGATGAACAGTGGACAGGTCACCCCAGGGGCATCCAGTATGCATGACTCCCACACTTCACTCTGTTTTCATCCAATGTACGACATGCAGTCCTTGTGTACGATCTGTTAATGAAGTGTAAGAGGGGAAGTTTTGTCAAGCTATGGGATCTAAAATGTATGTACTGTGGCCCAGAGACGTAAACATTTCTGGGGCTTTATTCTTCCTATTTCTACTTCTTGTAGGACGGTGGAAGCAGGATTGGCCTTGGGGTGTTGCCTAAATTCAGGTGGACGAAGGGGGCATGACCCAGAGCCCCAGATGTACTATCTGTATCATAAGGAAGTCTCCAACCACGTACCTCAAGCCTTCACTCATCCCGAAAGTCATGTATTAGGGTTGACTGCCCCAGGTTTGGAGTTCACTACAATTCTGACAAAGGTGCAGAATAAGTGCAAGACATAGTGGGAAGAACTGAACTTGGGGTGAAATGTGAAGTGACTCCCATAAGCAATAGATTAAATTAATACAAAATGCAAGTCAACCAGCCAGCATAAAAAGTTTCCATTTTCAAGAGAAAAGGAATAAATGTGAAAAACAAACATCCCAGAAAGGAGAGATTGTTAAAGTCAACATTTTACATCCTGTCGCACCCAGTGGGTGAGTCCCTTACCAGCAGGCACGAGGAAAACCACAGAACAAAACCATGTCACCTGCCTACCCATACCGAGAAACAGAGAAGCACGACACTCTTTCCCCTGCAAACTCCTCAAGGCAGCAAAGCCCTCCCTCCTCTCTCAACCCTTTGTTCTAACCTTGCTTCCTTCTGATTCCACTCTCTGAACTCAGCCTCTCCCCGTGAATAAGTGAGGAAACAGCCATGGTTGCTCAGACCGAGGTTTCTCATTTGGTCTCTCTCTCCTCCATCCCTTTAACATGCATAATGCCTGAAACGCAGGGTAGGACCACCCCCTTAGAGGGACTTCAAGCCCTGTCTTGAGTCCCTAGTGCCTTAAACAGGCCACCCTGGGACTTTGACAATTAGACCTTGCCCCAGACACTCCCCCCCCCAGCTTCAGATTAGGTAAGACTTCTCCCTGTCCCCTCTCCATGCCTGTGAGACCTTTCCCATTGTCTCCAGCGCCCTCCTTGTTGCCCGCGTGGCCTCTGCTGCATGGGGTGGGAGGATATAGAGTCCAGTATGAGCCCAGGTTGTGCGCCCCTACCACAGAACGTTTCCTTCACCCAGTGCCCTTCTCCCCACCACCACCAATCACCTTGAGACACAACACCCAGCCTCAGTCACCCTGCCTATGCACCAGTCCTGGACTAAGGGTCCCAGTCCACACAACCCTGGCACCAAGTGCCTGCCCCAGCAAGCCTGGCCCTCCTCACCCTGAGCTCACTCACCAGCCTCACAGCCCTGGAAGCAGGGCATAGCAGGTACACAGTACCACCATAGATGCCAAGGTCCACACTGCACTTATGTGCAGAATGAGGCCACACCAACTACATGCACAGCCACCAGTAAGCCTCCCACAATGCCTGAATGCAAAGCCCTCCCTTCATGTGAAGGCACCTGAGTCCAAACTAGGTAAGGAAAATATGGGCCTGTGCTACCTCATCCCACCCTGTGCATCTGGACCCCTGGACACAGTAGACCACTGCCCTGGGCATGCGGGTGCTGCATACCTAGCCATGGCACTGTCTGGTCAACCCATGCTGTGCCACTGCACCCTCCTTGGGGCTGCCATAGAGTGGCTGCCTGGTTCAGCAAGTCAGTTGGTCTGTGTTCAGCCCAGTCCCACCTAGGGCTCTCCTTGAAAGCCCGATGCCAATCATAGAACCATAGGTGCAACCCATGGGGCTCAGGCTGACCAGTTTGCATGCTGCTCCTCTACTCTCCCTCATTTGCTCTCCTAACCCCCACTCCATCACTCTGCCACACACCCAGTGCAGACTACATAGAGTTCCCTTGCACTCTGCACCTCTATACCTGCACACAAAGTGGCAGGAATAAAAGACATGGTTCTCTCTCTGTCAGATCTCTCCCAGGTCAGCCAGCATCTGACCTCTTTCTCTTCAGACTCTTAAAGCCATGGTTTTTCTCCAATTTACAGAAAGTTAACTTAAAACCTCTTGACTGAAGACCACCCTTCCTTCCAGGAGGTTAAATTAACAAAGTTTATAACTGTTTGCCTTCATAAGGGAACAACTATTAACAAAGGATGTACACTTGTGCTTTACATATGCTAAGACATATAACATCTTCTCTTCTGGGTGCTCAACAACTAAAGTTTACAGACCAGAACTAGAGAAATATCTGGGCTACAAAATAGCCAATATTTTGGTTTTGACCCTCCAAGGTCAGCAGAGAGCCAGGACATGAGAGAACCTTTTCTACAGGATCTTACAACTTTGGTGAGTCACCCAATCTCCTGAACAGGAAGATTGCTGGACCCAAGAGGACAGGGATCAACAAATATACAGTGTGCCAAAAGAGGGTCACCAGAGAGAAAAGACTCTCCCATGCTTTCACAGAAATCAACATGGTCAAGCAAGATTGTGACCTATCCTTACAGCTGACACTGCCGAGGAGCTGAGAGTCTGTATACATGGCTCTAAAAGTAATGCCTGAGGAGGCTTACCTGACCTTGATAGACAACAAGAAGTCAATTTTGATTAACAAATGTCCCGTTTGTTGTTTGCCAAAGGTC